TCACCGCCAGAGATATGCCAAGGGTTCTCATATAAACAAGCACTGTTTACAGATACCTTCTCAGCGGTGGCACTCTATTGTTAAACATTAATTCTTAGGAATGTGTATGTTGTGCAACATTCATACATGCTATTTGGATCTGTTAGCAATTTGAAAGAATGCTTTTAGTAATCTGGGAGCAAAGCATAGGTCTGGGAGAGTTTCCTACACAAAATATAGGAAAAAACAAATTAAAGAGTAAGCAATTTTTATTGGTTTTATTTATTTATTTACTTATTAAAGGTACTCTGAAATTTGTTTTACAGCCATTGAATATTTAGAAAGAAGACAAAAAAGACGTTGACAGTTGGTACCACCTGGTATATATGCATTCTACCAGTGGAGGAGAACAAGCACAGAAGTGGTAAAAGTGCTTGGCAAAAAAGGCTAGGGAATAAATGGCAAGATTTGGGATCATTTTGGGAGAGACAAACAAGAAAGTGGACTATTTTTACTGCAAGGTTCCTGTGGAGAGCAGCAGAGGCGAGGCATCTCTGCTCCACCTGTTGGTGGAGAGGAAGAAGGAAAGGTCTCCAGAGAGAACAGAGGGAACACTCTTGTTTGCCAGGGAGTCTGCAGCAGTAGTTACAGACACACTAAGTTTTCTTTGTCTTAGGAGATAAAGAAGTGAATTAGAAACTCAAAAAGAGACTCAAAGAGGAAAAAAAGAGGGATAACCTTCTTGATAGCAGGCAGCTCTGCCTGGCCTACAGTTATAGTTTGTGAGAGATACCTGGACAAATGCACCTCACTGTCCACACCATACATAGACCTTATGTGTTTGTTTGGGAGATGGGGTTGATTTTGCAGTTCGATATGTTACTTTGGAGTATATTACTTTGGAGTGATGTCATAGAATAGTTTGGGTTGAAAGTGACCTTTAAAGGTCATCTGATCCAACCTGTCTCCAATAAGCAGGGCCACCTTCCGCTAGACTAGGTTGCACAGACCCTGATCCAACGTGGCCTTGAATGTTTCTAGGGATGGGGCATCCACCACCTTTCTTGGCAACTTGTTTCAGTGTTTCATTACCATCATCATAAAACCCACTGACTATGAAGTGAGCTCACAAGACTGTCAGCAGGTACTGTCAGCATGCTCTAACAACTTCAAGGACTTACTCTTTGCTATTTTATGGTATGTTTTGCGTTTTGCTTACCCCAAGTTGGTAACCACTAAGAAGAACTTCCAATTTGCTGTCTTTGGATATTTATCAGTGTAATACTGGGTTGCTCTGTCCAGTATCTAGAGGCTTCCAGTAAACTGGTAAAGTTATTTGTTGTACTACATCTGATATCATTACATCTTAGTAAAAGGTTTAGTTTGTTATTTGCTGAGATAATGGGAATACAAGTCAGTGACCATGAGAAAACACACATTTACACAGAGTGCATAAATGACAACATGTGTTAAGACTCCTGTGTAAGGAGATTCCAACTGACCCTAGTAGGCAGAATTATTTAGAATGCTCTTAGAGTATCTCATTCAATGAAGCACAGCACACAGAGCAGAAAGTTCAACATGTGCCCTGGAATCAGAGCTGGTCCGTATTTTTAGACTCTAAACTCAGAGCATGCCTGTACAAGGGTGCCATTTCAATATCTCTTTGAGAGCCTTATTCTTGTTGGGGACATTTTGCAAAATGCCCATGGTAGGGAGAAATTGTCTACCTACATCTAAAGTCAGGAAAAATTCCTCTGGGAGTCACAGTGACTCAGGAACAGCTGAGCTCTGCCAAACTGGAACAAGTTCAAAGGAAGCACTGCCTATGATCAATTCATTACATAAACCTCAGATAAGGGAGTGGCAAGAAACTTTCCTGCCACCAACCATGAAAAACAGTTAAGGGGAAACAAACCATCCACCACATGGGCTTTTAAAAATGAACTCAAATCTCGGTAGCGTAAGGGCCCCAATGGGCCTGGTCGCAAACATAGAAGAAATCAAAACCAGAGATCAAGCTGGTGTTGTGAGCCATAATGCTATTTCTTCTAATATCTCCAGGCACATACAGCAGCTGCAGTTAAGTAGATAGCCTTAGGAAATAACTTCTTAATTCAAGAAAGCAGGAGAAAAGTCATTCTATTTCCTCACATTCTTTATGCAGTCTCTGTTGCTCAAGTGATGAAATTCCTATGAAATGTAATAATAAAAGACAATCCTGTGTAACAAGGGCCTACATAAGTTAAAAAATGCCAAAGGTGGATCTCAAGCAAGTCCCACACAGGTTTCCAGGAACTGATGAATTTCTTTGGGCATCAAACCACTGGATAGACAGAGAGGATCCTACTGCCTCAGGGCTGGTAAAGCCTCAGAGCACAGGTCTTAGCAGGAACTAAATGCAAAACAAAATTTGAAGCTGTGTTTCGTACTAAATCTTTCACTATACAGTACTTGGTCTTTTGTATGTGGTGATATAAGTGGCTAGGACCCCCACACAGTTTCTCTGCATGCTATTCAAGAAAATATTTCTTAAATCAATGGGGGAGAAGAAAAAAGCTTATGGTCATGGTTTATGCACAACTCTTGTAGAATTTCAGCATGCCCTGGAGAGTGCCTGGTTGGAGTAATTAGCAGGAGTAATTTATTTGTTTAAATAAGTTCACATTTGGCAGAATTCTGCAAACTACTTACCAAAAGCCTTCTAAGAATTTTACAACAGCAACAAACATGAGTAAGAGGTCCTGTCCCGATGAAGGTGGGAAAGGGGTGAAAAAAATTTTAAAAAATCACAAAAATACCTAGTCAGATGACTTCATAAAACAGTTACTTTTGCCTCTGCTCTTGAAATACTAGAGTCAAAAACTTCCTGAGGATTAAGTGGGAACTTCTGGGATTCTTCCAGAATTAAGCTACATAAAGCTAATGAAAGGCAATTTGAGAACGTCCCCAAAACTTTAAACCTTCCAGGGAGAAAGTTTAGTCTTTTCTAGGAAATCATAAAAGAGGTTGGACAGGAGCCATTCCTCCCTCTGAGGTTGTCGTTTTTCATGTCAAGAACAACTAAGTGCATTTTTCTCCTTTTTCTCTGGGGACTGGGTTGTTGCAGAGAGTAACACACTCAGCTCTGGGCAGGAGAGCTCTCCGGGAGAAAGGCCGTGCCCAGCAGCTTCCCAAGAGGCTGGGGCCACATGAAATCCAGGTCTCTCCTGTTTACCAGCTCAGTAAAGGGAGAAAGAGAGCTTTTATAACTGTTTGAGTAAAACTTAAATCTTACAGGTATCTCTTCTCTGATAGGAAAACACCTTTTATTACTTGAATTAAAGTCCTTTTCTCACATGTCTCAGGAGATACACGTTTTGCTGAGCTGCATAGGAAGTCCACCATAAGGCAGACATGCTTGCACAGTGATCATCCAGTTCCATTCAGTGCCTGCACCAAGAAAAATATACTGACCTCATTCTGAAGGAGAAGAAGGTTTGTGTGCAAGCAGAACCTGAATAGGATCTTCCTAGAGAGGTCAGATGAGAAATCTGAATAACCAGTGAAATGTTTCCTCATGGACAAAATGTATCACATGCATGAGAAATGAACTGAACTCTTTCCCATATTACCATGGTCCTTTTCATCATGTGTGTCAACATGTCTTTGCAATTCTTTATCACCATCACATTAGTGGTCAAAAGCAGAATTTAAAATTGCAAAACATACCAAAGCTGCCTCATAAATCTCAGTGAGGTACAAAATACCTTAAAAAACCAATTTCCTAACCAGGGTTCCTCTCTGTAGTGTAAGTTAGAGTAGAAGATTATAAGAGTCTCACATGCCCCAGAAATAATTAATCTGGCAGTGTCTTTATTCTCTCTTCGCAATTCCCTCACAGCCAGGTTCAGACCAGGACAACAGACAGGGCTTACCCTGATGCAGAGGAATTCTCCATCTAAGTGCCCTAAGTCAGATCAACAACAACCCAAACACCCAAGCAAACAAAACCCCTCCAAATATACTGAAAATGAACCAACTAAACCCCCTAAACTCCACAATTTCGTCAGAACAGCCAGGTTAGCTCTGACTAAAAATCCACGAACAGCGAGCATCTGTGGAAGTGAGTAAGATCAGAATGAAAGTTTAAAAGATAAATTCAGATGCCTTAATAAGTGTTCAACTAGATAATGTTCCATTTGTTTTTAATTGAAGCTTATAGTCTTTATAGCTGCATGATTTTCCTTAAAGTGAAGGAATAAGGAGAGAGGAGGAAATTTAGCAACACCATAATTAACTACTTAGGGCAAATCCTTCCATCAGATTCATGAGACAGATTTCAGATAAGCAGCTCAAATGAAGGATTATCTTGCTAGCAATGCGGAAATGTTGATCAGCTTGATATTTCCATTCTGCAGACAAGAGTTCATGCTGGCTGCTCACTATTTTCTGCAAGGAGGTAAATCTCCACAAAGGTGGCAGGTCTGATCCAGAGGGGATTTTGTTTTTAAAACCCCTGCACATGACCATCTTGTACCTGTCTGTTTTCAGGCAGAAATGAGGTCTGAATTTAAATGCTTCTCAGCTGCCTCCTTTGAGGAGGGTTACCAGGCAAGTGGATGCCCTGATGGTATGATGGATGTGTTGGAGCACATTGAATGTGTGCTAATATGGTGTCTTAGCACAAACATTAGCACTTGAAAGCATCACAAAGTACTCAAGCATTCTGGAAATACTAAGCTCAATTAAAAATATAATCTCCTATTACTGATAACATCCTCAGCATATGTTTCATGGCATTTAAATAGACCCCATCTAGCCAGTAGATTTAAATTTCAAAGAAGAAAGGCCTGTCCCTCTCCTCGGAAATACACTGAAAAAAAGCATACAAAATTTAAACTGGAGCCTTGTCATATCCTTAACAGTCTTGTATTCACCAGTCTTGTCTGGTGCCTGGTCAACTAATGGGACTGAAAAAGTGAGACACTTCCATTCCCAGTGGAAAAGAGAGATAATATTTTGTGGCATCTCATGCCTACCATGCACTTTTCACTCCTTTTGCCTCATTCAAAAGTTGGAGAGATGGCTTGAGCAAAATCCTAATTTCAGTTTCAGGATCTAAAAGCAGTTTGGTCAATGATCTCTATTTATCCATTATTTACTAAGTAGAAAAACACACACACTTTGGTAAGTTATATTTTTAACAAGAAAGAATGGACCAGACACATTGGGGGGAGGGGGAGGGAAGATAACACACAAGATTTTCTATTGCTGTATTCACAGAAGTAGTACCTGTCTCTTAGATTTTTTATTTGAATATGGACTGCATATTTCAGCACAGTATATAAAAAATATTCTGTCTCCAGCTGATATATTTCCATTTCCATTGTTTGACTTATGCAAACATGTTACACATTTTGCCCTCATGCAAAATTAAACGTTGTCCATTATGAGAAAAGAAAAGGTGCTAGTCATGCCACACAATTTCCCTACGTCTTAGATGCCCACAAGATAAGTAACCATGTTTTAAAATTGGCATCAGAATTCTTCAGAGAGGCAGCTGTTCATTTAAAGTACATTAAAGTGGATTTCTTTATATTTTGTAATAACTAGAGTGAATCTGTTAGAACTAAAAAAAAAAAAAAAAGTCTGTTTGAAACTTGGAACTTAGCCTACTCCCACCCTTATTCAGATAAAATCCCACCCCAATACCCCCCAAACAAAAATAATTTTTGCTGAATGCATGCCTAAACAGATAAGCCTCACAGTAAGATTTCCAACAAATACTCAGGAGACTTAGATATCAAATTTCCATCAACTGAAAAAATCCCCCTTTCTCTCCAAGAGCATTGAGATAAGATCATGTGCAGACATCACATCATACTCTGCTCATGTCTGTGTGCTTAGCTATGAAGTACTCATATAATTCCTGAAATTATTCATCCTTGGATTCCCTGACACGTTAGTTGAGTTTGAGAGTTAACAGTCTCTTGGCAATTGCCATTTCTCCTCCAATTTTTTTCTACACAGGCAAGCCCTTAAAGTATCATGGCAGATCTCAAGAACCTCAGCAGTAAATGGGAGGGATGCTCATACTGCTGTGACAAAATCTTTTGAAGCCCTACAGCTCAAATTCAGTACTATCATCTCCACTCAAGCAGCTGCTACCTGTCAGGGAGAAGCAGATCCTTGTGCTCATAGAGAAGACGACAGATATCTTTTTTATTTTTCCTTATTTCACTAGCTCTGGTTTCAGAGTTGATAGACGGTAGCCGCATTTCTGGAGGTAACCCCATACTGGAGAAAACAGTCAAATAACATAAAAAATAAATCCAGTAAGGTCTCTGTAACATGCACACACAAACAATGATCATTTGTATGCTTCCAAGCATATGACTATTTACTGAGTGTAGAAACCAAATGAACAGGTAAAGTGTTGATCATCTCTCAGACAGCAGAGTCACTAGGTGGAATCATTTGCATTATCACCCTTATCCTCTTTTTCAGTGATTAATCAGACTCACAGAATGCTTTCAGTTGGAAAGGACCTGAAAGATCATCTATAGTCCAATCACTCTGCCAAGGGCAGAGGCACCTTCCACTAGATCAGGTTACTCAAAGTCTCATTCAACCTGGCCTTGCACACTTGCAAGATGGGGCATCTGCAACTTCTCTGGGCAATCTGTTTCAGTGCTTTCTCACCCTCACAGTAAAGAATTTCTTCCTAATATCTAATGTAAATCTACTCTCAGTTTGAAGCCATTACTCCTAGTCCTATACATGCTCTTGTGAACAGTACCTTTCCAACTTTCTTGTGGGCTTCCTTCAGGTACTGGAAAGTGCTATAAGGTCTCCCTGGAGCCTTCTCTTCTCCAGGTTGAAAAACCCCAACTCTCTCAACCTGTCTTCATGTACCTTGTTAATAATGCACACACTCACAGGTAATGAACTTTCTTTGCTATATAAGATAAATCAACATCTCAAACATGCTTCTATCTTTCTTCTCACCATCTTTCCAGCATACATAGTTACTGAAAAATGGGAGCAGCAGTGCACAAAAGCCTGGGTACATAAATCCCAAAGGCACTCTTTTGGTTGCCCAGGCAATGCTATCAGGATTGGCCCTGCCTGCAGTAGAGGACCACAGACCTTGTGACCCAAAAAACCATCTGAGAAGTATTTTTAGTGAGCATCCAATAACTGAATGAAGCCCAACATGACAATTCTAGGCTAGAGTTATTTCTTTTAAAAAAATGCTTTGCTCATGGGAACAATTCTCATTTTAGACTCACTACTGCTGTAAAATAGTGTTTTCATTTTCCTATGCTCACCGCTACTCTTTCAGATAGCCTGCAAGGCTCAGCTTTATAGCAGCAACAGTATTTTATATAATCCCCTTTACCCCTGTTCCTCCTATGGACAGCTCTTAAAATGTAAGAAAAAAATATCCTTTAAATAGTTATGTGTAAGGTGAAATTTATGATGAACATTAAAACCAGTTTTAAATAGTGCAGTCTGCAGCTTGTTTAAAATCCAATAGATTGTCTAAGATCCTTGCAAAGAGTCTTTCCACAGTTACTGCATAAGAGAGAGAGAATGGAGAAGCAGAGGAAAGTGATGCCCTCAGTGACCTTGCCCTGTAATAGTGCTTGTGGCTTGAAAGTGACTGCAGAGCTGATATTCGGTTGCATTGGTCTTTGAAGTAAATCTCACTCAGGTTGTTCCTGTGAAATAAGTTGTAATTCCTGCAGGAAAATGAAAATATCTGTAAATAACAAGTGCTCTGAAATTAAAGTCTTGTTTCCTTTGTTTGCTGTAAGGTGATTGCTGGTTATCTTGTTTTTTTAAAAGCAGATGGAGCTCTCTTCTTGGGTGCTAATCAGTGCTCTCAACTCTTACTGAAGTCAGCAGTATTATGGGACTGTTACCTTCAGGCATTTAACTTGGGTAACTAAGTTCATCCACTCTTACTTTAGACATTGCCTCCAGGAGATGGAATTGAGTTCAGAGTACCGCAGTTTCTTGATTTATGGAGAAATGTGAATCCTTCTTTCTTTCTTTCTCTGTTAAGTACAAAGGGAGATATAATTCTGATAGCTGGGAAAGTATATGTCAGACAGGGTGAAAACCTGCATCAAGATCTCTTTGTAGCTGATAAATAGAATTTAGTCCACATAATACTGATATAGAGTGAGAAGAGCAGAGAAAAGTTCTTGCCAAGCCACTTGCCTAAAATGCAGCAGTCTCTAATGTCCTCAGAATTTCAGTCATATCAAGTGGCAAGGGAGACATTCCAAATAGTACCAAAATAAATGAAGACCAAAATTTTCCTTAGAGTATTAGAAAGAGAAGAAAGTTCCTTCAAGTCTACAGCTTGAATGTTGCAGTCCTTTACCTCAACTTCTCTGTCAGCTCATTCCATTCCTTGCTGTTATATTGTGTTTTTTCTTGGCAAAAGGCACTCTTTGTCAGCTTACCCAGTTTACAAATAAATCACATTTATAGATATGAAAATTCTGTTTTAAAGGACTTGAAAGGAACTGAATTATAACCAGATCTACTTTTTAGCAAACATCAATGTTCCCTAATGAATTCAACAAGTGTTATTCAAAGATGACTATCAGAAGTGCTGCTATTAAAAAACATGGAATACCATAGTATAAATTTGTAATTCTCCACAGTTATTAAGTTACTGTTAAATATTAGGATCCACAAAATATTGGTCCTATCCCATTGGGTTTCTATTCAAACAATATGAAAGAAAAAGCCTTTGAACAACAATTACTGAGAACATAAGCAAGCAGAGAGAAAAAAAAAAAAAAGAGAATGAGAAATTAATAACAATGGTTCCCTGATGCAAATTCACTCAGGTTGACCTTCTACCCACAATGTCACAGAATCATTTAGGTTGGAAAAGACCTTTGAGACCTAGTCCAAGCTTTGACTGATCACCACCTTGTCAACTAGACCATGGCCCAGTCATTTCTTGAACATCTCCAGGGACAGTGACACCTCTCTGGACAGCCTGTTCCAATGTTTAACATCCACTCAGTGACGAATTTCTCCTGATGTCCAGCCTGAACCTCCCCTGGCACAACTTGAGGCTTTGTCATCTCATTCTTTTGCTACTTGTCTGGGAGAAGAGGCCAACCCTGACCTGGCTACAACCTCCTTTCAGGTAGTTGTACAGAGATACAAGGTCACCCCGGAGCCTCCTCTTCTCCAGGCGAAACAAGCCCAGCTCCCTCAGTCGCTCCTCTCAGGACTTACCCTCTGGACCCTTCAACAGCTTCAGTGCCCTTCTCTGGACATGCTCCAGCTTGTCCTTCCTGTAGTGAGGGGCCCAAAACTGGACGCAGTAGCCAAGGTGTGGCCTCAACAGTGCCCAGTACATTGGGACAATCACTTTCCTAGTCCTGCTGGCCACACTTTTTCTGATACAATACAGGATGCCATTGGCCATCGTGGCCACCTAGACACACTGCTAGCTCATGTTTAGCCTGCTCTCAACCGGTACCCCCATGTCCTTTTCTGCCAGGCAGCAGGAGATGGACATCTGTCCTGTAGATCTGAGATCCTCAGTTCTAGGGACATATAACATACATGCTACATGTTAAGGCTGTTAAAATTTTATCTGTTATGTGTATGAGACTAGTTGGATGCTTCCAATTGCATGTCTTTCCGATAAACTGTGACACTTCTGGTCAAAAGCTAAAAGACATTTTAGAACTGGTGATATTTGAGCAGAATTGTCACTTAAGTCCTGCTCAGAATAAAAATGGATTTAATTTCACTGCACAAAACTGCAGATTGTTTGGACATTTGCAAGAGCATAGCACACAATTTTTGGTCCTTAGCATAGTGTTAGAGATTAAATACTTCTACCTTATTCAAATTCATGTATCAGAAGNAAAAAAGAGAATGAGAAATTAATAACAATGGTTCCCTGATGCAAATTCACTCAGGTTGAGCTTCTACCCACAATGTCACAGAATCATTTAGGTTGGAAAAGACCTTTGAGACCTAGTCCAAGCTTTGACTGATCACCACCTTGTCAACTAGACCATGGCCCAGTCATTTCTTGAACACCTCCAGGGATAGTGACACCTCTCTGGACAGCCTGTTCCAATGTTTAACATCCAC